CCTCCCAAGTACTGCGTCGCGAAGACGAACTGTGCCTATCCATGTCGCCTTGGCGCCGCTCTGGCCGCACAGTCCGGAGCTGTTCGAAAAGGGAGCCATGGCGTAGAAAGACAGCGCACCAGAGCCCCCGTGCACGGCGACGACGGCGTCGCTCCAGGACCGAAGCCACAGCGAGTCCAGCATCCTTGACGCGTTTCCCCTTCATTGAGGCGTCCTGCACATGAGCCATGGATTAGGGTATAAACTATTCAACAATTTTCGAATATTGATGTCGCAGATTTCTCAACTTATGGGTATTAAGGTATTTCCCTTTTTCTATTGCATAAACTCATACACCAAGAGTAGAGCCCCACTAAGGCATTCAATAAATTGTACGAATAATTGTTCCGTATTACGAATCCCAATCCTTCGTGATATGAAGTATTTCATAATAACGGAGCCTTTCTTCAATCCTCTAATTATCTCCGCAAGTGCGAAGCAACAGTTTTGTTGAATTTTTTGAGTGCTGAGTCCGGCTGCTCCTCGCGCTTGGAGGTTGGTCTACGTGTTGCCCTGCCTTTCCGAAATCTACGAGACTGCCATTCCAAATGCCTCACGCTGTAAGTGCATCCCGAAAAACTCACAAAGTAGAGAATCCTTACGAAGTCAAGTCGCTTTATATAGCAAAGTATTTTGAGCATTCGTAAGCTTACAGAGAAAATGCTGCGTAATTTAAGGACTATTTCTTAGTCGTACTAGAAAAAAAACAGATTGTGTAATAGTAGACCCGGGTGTGGGGGAAAGGCATGAAGACAGCACAGGGTCAAGAGCAAGTGGAGTCTTTATTAATCCGTTCATTAGATATACAGACTGTGGAGGGTGGGTAGCAGCGGGTAGCAGAGTCCGGACTTTTGGCGAAGCCAACTGACTGCACCGACTGGCACCATTGCTGCTGGCTAACAAGGGGTGTGGGAGAAAGATGCTCCCGGCCCGCTCCCCCGGGCCCTGGTGCACCTATGGCGGCATGCGTCATGGACCGTCACTTCCTCGACGCCGGCCAGCAGCTGGCCTACATTATCTTTCCATTTAAGGCTACATTCGGTTAATTATTCAAGCCCCCGATTGACGATGACAATGTCACTCTGCAGGACTTCCCCACTCAGACAGGGGATTTTTCCATGGTACAGAGCAACTTACTTTTAAGAAACGCGTTGAGTGTGGTTGTGCACTGCTAGAAATAACCACAACAAAAGTAAAAAATTTCTGGCAAATTTTTTATCAGGTATTCATTGTATTTTTTAAGTACAAAAATTTGTTGTACAAAGTACAATGGAATCGGTATGACGAGTGCTGTGCAGTCCAGGCCTCGTTGTGGTTTGTACAATTCTCGTTGTACTTTTAACAATCCCTGTTGTACTTTTATTGTACATTTTTTGTTGTACTATCCACAGTTTTTCTCGCAGTGTGCGCGAGGTGCGGGCCGGCAGTGGTTCGCGGAGGGCGGCATACCATTTTATCAATCTGTTGGTGAGTTGGTAACAGCGTTCAGTGGGGTACTTCGGAGGTAACCTAGACCAAAAGTCAGCGACAGAACGGGAGAAACAATACAGCGTCGCGTGGCTGTGCTGAACTGTGATGGGGGTCAAATGGGGGGAGTAGGGGTGAAGGCGGCGCGCGCATGCTACCCCCACTCTGCCCATCGCGGCCCCCACCACCGCTCGCACGGCCTCACGACGCTCTTTTGTTTCTCCCGATCTGTCGCTGACTTCCGGTCTAGGTTACCTCCGAAGTACCCTGTTGATTCATAAAAGGGCTGTGTTATTATTCACTCGTCTACTTTTTTACTATGAGAAAGGCGGTGTTGGAGATTATTCAGTTAATACGGGTTTAAAGGTGTTCACCATTGCTGATACAAACTGTTTTATAATTACCCTTTCCTGGATCCAAACCAATACACTAGAACCTACACCTCAGAAATTTGAAATGAAGGTGTATGATAGCCCCACTAGTTTTTTGAGAATTGAATTATCAAGAAGCAAAAAAGGGTTTTTTTTCTTTTCCAAACAAAGTACCAAAAGAAATACTTAGTAATTCGAGAGGGTGGATTGTAATCGCATGCCCACCCCCCTGGAAATTTTCAAAAGTGGATATTCTCAAAATCCGAACTCCACAGGAAGTAATGCAATTCCATATGCCGAAGTAGTTGGTTGCCAAGTATTCGGTCAACAAACCCAGGCCTGACATAAGCTTTGCAACAAAATTTTAGCCATTATAAGGGCAACCCAAAAGGAGAAGATCTTGTAAATGTAATATGGATTGAGATATCTTCAAGGAACCAAAAAAACTTGGCTTACTGTTTCCTTTCCCCCAGATCCTAAGTGTGGTATGCTATACTGACTCTGATTTTTACGGATCTGGACCTGACTTCAAAATGGGGAGTGCTTCTGGTTATGTAATCTATGAAGGTGGTCGCGAAGCTTGTTAGGGCAGGCCACTCTCTGGCGAACACCTACCTTGAAGGATTTTGCCCCCCCCCCCCCGGTTCATTTACCAGGACAAATTTCGCATCACTGCATTCTTCCCCACTTTGAAAGGAATTTAGTTGGTAGTGAAAAAAATGAAGAACTAATTATTTCACTATCTGCTAGGTGTGAACAGCTATACTTAAATTTGTAAATGATGTGTGACAAAATGCAAAGGAAACCAAAAGGGGATTCATTTTGGAAAAGATTTTAAAATGTTTTCAAGGTACCTTTTTCTTGAGGACGGCAGGATTTTTTAGGGGCCGTCCATAAAATACGTAACGCTTTTTGAGGCCATTTTTGACCCCCCCGCCCCTATGAAACTCAGCGTCACGCTGCCTCGGACCCCTCCTCCCTCCCCCCGGGGCGTTACGTGACGAATTGATCCAGGAAGCGGAAGAAGGGCATAACTTGACTTATCCCCAAATTGAGTTTTTATTTTATTATTGTGCCCTTTGGATGGTTTACATCATTTCACCAAAATTTTTTGACTGAAATTTCCCAAACAGTTTAGGGGAAAATCCACATGGAAAAAGGGTATAACTCAACTTAACCCCTTTTCAGTCTAAATTTCATTGGAAAAAGGAAAACCAACCTTATTACTGGTCCTTTGAAAAAACAAAAGGATATAACTCAATTGTGTTTTTTACTTGAAAAAAAATCAAAACTTAACCCCCCTAAAAATTTCAAGGGAAAAAAAGCTAAGTCCAAAAAATACACCAGAGTAACATACACTTTATGCAGACTATTGTTCCACTTGACTTGTCTCCAAATTCCTCTTTGTTTAGGAAATATAAGGTGAGCTGACTCTGTTTTCCATTTCAACGGAAAGTGATAAGTCGCAGAAATCCTCTACGGAGTGACCTTACACTTTTGATTTTTTTTCCAAAATTTTACTAATGCTTTTTGAAATTATTAACATCTGCAACATTCATTTGTTTTGTTTTAGTTTTCCCTGCTAACAGTTTTTTGTTTCTCCTGAAAAATGGCCAAAATTGAGTTATCCCCTTCTTCCGCTTCCTGGATCAATTGCTTAAAGGTTAAAAGCACGCAGAAACTGTCAAAACGTACGAGGAAACCACGATTTCACGCATTTAGGTATAGGTGTGCATGGGTCGATTGGCGTTACATCACGCCGGGTCGACCCCCCCCCCCATGAAACGCACCGTAACTGAAGCTCTGACCCCCTCCCCCCCTTAGGTGCATTACGTATTTTATGGACGGCCCCTTACGAAGTGCTTGTGAATACTTTCTGCGCCCTGCGTTGTGTCTGCACTGTAGAGACAGACATAAATAACCTCGCGGCATCTCCTGTAATCGAGGGACATTTTAGATTTGAAGAGGTCAAGAAATATCTTCTTGACAAGTAGTAGTCAGTGCAAGAGGATGATGGCACAAGAAATGTATCAAGATTTGAGTATGATCCAGCGACGAACCAAATACTTGGACCAGTCCATCCTCGATGACAAAACAGGTGCCCACGATGTTCCTAAAGCAGTAGTGTCACTGAGGGCATTCACGAGGAGAGAAGTGATACATTTGACAATGTCAATATTTTATTTGTTTAGTTGGTGACTTTAGCACGCCAGTCAAACTACGCCAAATAAGCCTTCTGTGATAAAAGGGGAACCGTTGGAAAACCGCTTCCTTAGCCGTGCTGTGTTGCGTTGAGGAAGGAATTGAAGCTATCAGCAATTACGAATTAGGATCTTTCAGGCATACTTGAGTAAGTTCAATGTGCACGGTTCTTCCGTGTAGACTTGAGGCTTAACCCGCGCACCAGTTGGGGTTCGTCATGCAGTTCGCCATGCAAGGCTTGGTGCAAGCTGCACCTCCGCATTGCGAAGAACACAGGCCGGTGCATTCCGAATTAGTGCATTGACCCTGGAATGCGAAGAAACGATATTGAGACCAGCGGAGCGGAAGCACACTGCAGGCAATAACCACAACAAAAGTACACAAATTTCTGGCAAATTTTTAATCAGGAATTGAGTGTACTTTTCAAGTACAACAATTGTTGTACAAAGTTCAATGGAACCGGCATGAGGAGTGCTGTGCAGTCTAGGGCTCGTTGTGGGTTGTACATTTCTCGTTGTACTTTCTACAATCCCTGTTGTACTTTTATTGTATAGTATCTGTTGTACTTTTGTTGTACTATCCACACTTTTTCTTGCAGTGCATCCTCAAATAGAACGCGGGGTGTAAAAATAGTATGAAAAAACCGTTAATGCCATCCTCAAAGTTCCTGCGCGTCAAAAATCGCATCCGATAGTTTAAGAACTATGATGGCCTAAGCCTGTAAGGAAACCATTCAACATCGAGACTGAACCTACGCTCGAGTTAAAGCGAGTGTCGGAAACGGCCCCGGCTATTGCAAGCCCTTTTTTTAAAACGCAAATCTGCGGTATGTATTAACTTTCAACCAACCATCCGCCCAGGCCTACGTGTAGAGGGTTCAAAGACACTTTAAGGCTGAAAACTGTTTCCGAAACTTAATTTTCCTGTCATCTGAGAGGCGCTGGAAAATGCATCAATATTTGCCCCACCCTCTTTTAAAGTTTTAACTCCAGCGCTTGTGCGATAACGTTTTATTGCAAGTTAATGTCCCTGCCGTAAAGGTCCTAATCAGCGATGGAACTTGTCATTCAAGCCAGCGTGTCGAACATACCCTGCGGACGCGGTGCGGCTCTGACAAAAAATTGGCCGTTGGTTCTGCTGGTAAGGCTTCGACAACCTGTTAAATAAATCATAGGCAGGATTAGTCTCTTCGAAATAGTATAGATAGCCTTTGGGTGACGCTCTCAGACGAACCGTTTGGCCGGGAGACGCCAAAAACTAACTGGGCCGCGAAGTTCAAAAGTTTGAACTTTGAATGGCGATATCTCAAATCAGCACCGTGGGTTTTTTTTTCTAGGTTTTGGTGAGAGGCTTCCTGATAGCTACCTCTAACGATTCCCAAAGTTTGGTACTGTTCGGAATTTGGTCCGGGTCAAAACACCGTTTTACTGGACTAACCAGCTGACAAATGTCACAGGCATGACATCAGTACTTTGGCGGGAAGTCACAATTGAAAGAGCAGACCGGAACAGGCAGCCTAGAGTTTGGACCAGGACACTGCAACTTGTTTTGCCCTCTGCTTAAGGGTCATAAGGGTCACATTTTGACCTGATTTAAGTTCGACACCCCATAGCGAGTGCAAACTATTTGGAAAGAAGCGCTCAGTGGGCCAGAAGACCGGCACAGGCGACCAAAACTCTGGTCGCGTTGAGCTCAAGCGTCGCTAAACAGGACTCGAGCCGAGCCTGTGACCGCACCAATGGATTCCTCCTTTGGAGAGCAATCGAGTCACACGTTCGGTTCGAGTTCCTGCTCAGAACCCCTGCGGAATTTTGACTACATCTACCGGTCTTCTGGCCTCCTGTGGAGCGTGTCTAGCACCCCATCAAGCTGCATTTACTGTACATACCAGCAGACCGACGACTGTCGCGAGTGCGAAGAAAAAAGGAAGTTTCATGTTGGCGTTGTGAACTCACTAAAGTCTCCCTCCGTATTTATACGATCGACTTCTGCCATAAAACGGACATCGTAAGACAAGTCACGAACGACAGGAGGTGCATCATCACGCCGCTCGCTCTTGCTCCAGGAACGTTGAAATTAATGTTACAAGCTGTCACGTTCTTTTCAGCACTGTGTCACATTCGTTTTGATGTCAATCAGCTATAATTATGCGAGGGGGTAACCACTCGCGTAATACCCTGTACACAAAAACCGTGTATTACGCGTAATACACGTGGTCGTAATACCATTTCTGCGTCTAATGAGCCAAATTTTTGCATTTTAAGGCCGTAATACACGTGTAATACCTCCGTAATACAGCGTAATACCGAGTAGTATGTACACGATTTCTTGAAGTGTTTACCCCCTCGTCCTTAGCATACACTTGAGCTTGCAGAGCACTTCCCGCACAGTAAAAACTCTACGCAGAACCGCTTCGCAATACGAAGAAAATGAAGGCATTGTAAAATCTACGAAGAAATGCTTCCTATTATGAAGCAAAATCCTTTGTAATACGAAGCATTTCTAAATAATACAAAGCAATCCTACAATGCCTTCACTTTCTTTGTAGTTATGAAGCAAATGCTTCGTAGGCTTTTAAGAGTGCGGGGCCACTGTGAAAGCGTTTAACAATTTGAGTAACCTTTGAAGATAGCTATCCCACTGCAAATCCAAGTGGGACATTTTGTCCCACACTTTAAAGTGTGCAGCATCCAGGACCCGCGGACCGCGGGGTCAGTAGCGAGGATGCCATCGGAGGACACCGGAGGGGCAGTCAACACCCCAAAGTTGAGTTCCGACCCCAAGTGTCCGATAAAGTACCCGTCTACGTGCCCGCTATTCACTCCAGAAGTCTCGTCACCTCGAAACTATTCACTCTGTAGATAATCTGAACATTTGTTCGTGTTTCACATTCACAAGTTTCAAATTTTTTGTTTGGGTTTGGGTCAAAATAGCTGACATTTACCTCGTCCTGCTCCCTCGAAAACAAATACGACGATGTCTAACTCGAAACAAACAAATCATTCGTGCTCGCTTAAAATCTTACGAAACCTTTGGAGAATACAGAGTACGAACTCATTTACTTTGTTATACGAAGAAATAATTCGTATAAATTACGAAGTATTTTCTTTGTAAGCTTATGTAAGCTCAAAATCCTTTGTTATAACAAGCAGCTTTTCTTTGTAAGGCCTAAAATAGTTTGCAAGTTTGTTAGAATGTGTTTGGACGTGTTCGGGGTTCGAAACTGGGTCTGGGATCATTTTGGTTTTCATCTCCATCATCAGCACCCTTGAAAACAACGCAGAAAACGAGGCTCAACTCGCAGAAAGTTTGTTCGAAACAGACCTTCCGAGAGGAGCGATGCAGACACACACGACTTCGGGTTCCTCGAATTTAGGAAAGTGTGTGGCGAGGATTCTCAGAAACTCAGCAGTTTGATGGTTTTGTCGCACCTTGTCAGCTCTCAAACGAAGGATGACAGTGCTCACAGCTCTGTGAGTCGTGACTTGGTAACACGAGCTCCGGGGGTACAGTCACACTGTTAAAAATGATCGTAGACTAACAAAATTTTGGAGAACAATTGTGTCGTTTTTAAACGACACATTTTGTTACGACTCGAGTCGTAAATATAAGACATACTTGTCCCTAATTCTAATAGCGAGACGTTCCATTTCAAAACGAAACAAGTCGTAAATTTACGACGCATACACTGGTGAAACTAAGGCTTAGTATTGCGCCTGTCCTCAAGCGTAATCTTGAAGCGCACTCCTGCGCTTGACTTCAAGCGTAAGAAAAGCTACGCTTGAAGCAGGGCGTTCCAGCCTTTAGTGCGCTTCAAAGAGGCGTAATACTACGCCTTAGTTTTACCACCGTATGCCACTGGGTAAAGGGTACGCCACTGACTCAAAATAACGTCAGAAATGAACTAGGTGGCCTTCAAAACACCATTTCTCTAAATTTAAGTCCGATAGGCGTAACTGTTTAGTCGAGAGACATACTCCTATTAGCGAATGGCTCCGAATCGGATCGGGATGGAAATAAGAGGAACATGTAAAACTTCCCAGATGAATTATTTTGGACCAAACTAGCACGAGGGTGCTTATTTAAACCCTATTTAGGCACGCAGACAATTATCAATCTAAATCGCGCAGGTGCCATAGTTTGTTTCCATTGAATCAAATGATGGAAAATTTCCCTCGAACATATCGAGGTTGTCCAAAGCTACTTCACACGTCTTTCCCCTCTTCCCAGTGGTACCTGGTTCGGCTGGCCGTGTTGCGAAGGCAGCAAAACTACCAGCATTCGTGCAACGGTGCTCCGCGCCCCCTCGTGCACGGGTCGAATGCGTGCCAAGACACGCTCCAGGTCTGGCCCACTGTGTCCGAAGACGACGTAGTTCTGGGAGAAGTGGGAGCGCGACACGATGTTGCCGGGGCACAACATGACCACTGGCAGTTGGCCCTCTCTGTGCAGCAGCCTCAGGGTGCCGAGAGCCGTCCGCTCGGCCACGTTGGGGGCGCTGATGACACACACTGTTGGCTTCAGCACTCACTCGTATATCAAGGGCGCCGGAAGTGGGGTGCAGGAGGGGGACCTCCCCTCCCCCCAAACTTTCAGACACAAACCCCCCCTACTTTCAGACACAACAGTGCCATTTTGAGCTCGAAATAAGGAGAATACTCAAGCAAAGTCGCAATTTCTTCGATTTTTGGCTTCTAGCTCGCTTCGCTCGCAGGTTTCTTTAATTTTCCTCTATAATTTTACCGTTTCCAGTGTTAAAAGTTTAAATTCTGGCGAATATGCCTATTGAAAAGTTACGACTGAGGATTTTCTGTTGAGTGCCAGCAGCAGAGGAGGGTACGCTGGGAATAGAGCGACGTCACGTTCGTTTTAGTACGAAGTCCCAAGAGTCCCGGGTGGAGACATCAGTTCCAGAACCACTGTTTATTCTTACTTTTACACCCGGAGTTCGCTTCAAAGAGTGTACTGGCAGTAAATTAAAGGCCAAAATACAAGTTGTACTTTTCCGCAGTAAGACAACAGTTTTTCGGTGACCTTTACTCTACAAACTGAAGTGTGTACTCAGTATGCGTCTACAGATGCATAAGTACAATCTACACCGTTAAAAATCCACTGTAATATTACAACACAATCACCTACAGTAATGCTGTTTAATAACAACAGTATTGTTTTCTGTCTGAACGGGAAACCTATCCAGAAACAGCACTTTCGTTTCATAACAATCTTCTTGTCAAGTAACAACAATGTAATCGTCATTCAAAATAGTTGTGTTGTCGTTGAACAGGTTTCATGTTTAGAAACGGCCTTTTGCAATCTTAAAACATATTGTTGTCAGGTTATAAGGGTCTTGTTTAATAACAGCACGATGAAATCAACACAAATGTTGGGAAGACATCGTTGAAGACTCCAAAGAAGTGATCCAGGAAGCGGAAGAAGGGAATAACTTGACTTATCCCCAAATTGAGTTTGTATTTTAATATTGTGCCTTAGAATGGTTTCCATCATTACACCAAATTATTTGACTGAATCCCAAGCAGTTTAGGAGAAAATCCACATGGAAAAAGGGTATAACTCAACTTAACCCCTTTTACGGTCTAAATTTCATTGGAAAATGGAGATAACTCAACGGAAGTCCACATGAGTCCGTTTGACAAATTGGCAAAAGGATATAACTCAACTTGTATTTTTATGAATCTTGTGTAAAAAGAATCAACTCAACTTAGCCCCCCTTAATTTTAAATTTCAATTTGGAAAAAAGAGCTAAGTCCAAAAAGTACACCAGAGTAACATACACTTTATGCAGACTATTGTTCCACTTGACTTGTCTCCAAATTCCTCTTTGTTTAGGAAATATAAGGTGAGCTGACTCTGTTTTCCATTTCAACGGAAAGCGATAAGTCGCAGAAATCCTCTACAGAGTGACCTTACACTTTTTATTTTTTTTCCAGAATTTTACTAATGCTTTTTGAAATTATTAACATGTGCAACATTCATTTGTTTTGTTTTAGTTTTCCCTCCTAACAGTTTTTGGTTTCTCCTGGAAAATGGCCAAAATTGAGTTATCCCCTTCTTCCGCTTCCTGGATCAAGTATTGTTTTATTACAATCGAACTGTCAGAAAACAGCACCGAGGGCTACAACATGCTTGTAATAAAACAAGTCGTGCTGCTATCAAACTTAACAGCATAAGTGCTGTTAATTTACAGCACTTTTTTTAACAGTGTACGCAGATGCATACTTGGCTAAGTACACATCTACTGATGCATACTCAGGTGAGTGCATAACTACAGATCCATACTTGGCTGAGTACACACCTACAGATGCATACCTAACTCATCCAAATGCGTACTCAGTACACATTTCAGTTTGTAGAGTAGTATTATCACCCAAATTTAGTTGAGGATGCTTATCTTGTCCAAAATTTTGGATGATAGAATTATTCTAACCCAAATTTGGGCAATAAAGAATACCCCATCCAAAATTTTCGGCGTCACTGTGACTCTTTCATTGCAAGTGCTCCTCAGTAAAACTTTCTTGTTTCAATATAAGACTTTCTAGGGTGAATGCCTAACAACCAGTGAAGAAACGTAGTAGTTGGTACCTTTCGTTTCCGCTCGGCATACAAAGCACGAGCCCGCCTAGCTGTACTTGTTGCGCAAGGTGTTGATGCGAAAACTTGAAGAGGAACGCCACCATCAAACCGACGTCGGCGGAGGCAGGGTCGTGGTCGTCCGGCATCACTGGTGGTCCAAGTGAAGCCTTGGCAATCGGACGAACTGCGAGCGAAGCGAGGAAGAGCGCCAGCAGTAGCTGCATGGTTGCATCTGCGATCCAGATGAGCACATCAGGATAAAACACTGTGGTAAAAAGCTACAGAAAATTATGTTTATGTTATTGTTTTTGGTGCGATTCTCTGCAGGCCTCTTGTCAACAGTCTCCTCCGTAAGGCCTTACAGTCTTTTCCGTAGGTAGGACCCAACAGTTTCCTAGGAGACTTTATAGTGCCACGGAGAACACTGAGTTCCTGCGGACGATATTAGGTCCTACAGAGAATATTGACAACACAAGTTATTGGCACGGTAAATGAAAAAAAAATGAAGGGGAGGTACCACCCTAAAATAGTTACAAAATATTAATTTGAATTGCATTTTAATCCAGCTGTTTGTTATTGACATACTTCTTAATCTTATCGCAATTTAATGTCAACATCTAGCAAGCGGTTTCCTCTAAAAAAAAACAAAAAAAAACAATTAACACCATTAAACGGTAGCGCAGGCAAAACCAGGACGCTTACTTACGCTTAAAGCACATCAAAGGTGCAAAGTACGCTAACTCTGCTTTCAATAACTAAATGAAAGGAATAAAGACTTTTTAATTGAAGGTTACAACTCTTTTTAAAACCTTGTACTGTATGCCTGTGAATCAGTCATTCTTCATGAACGTTACAATGATGTCCCATGCCTCTTTTCGGCCAAATGGTTTGTCCTACAGAGACGCGTTTGATGCTCTGAAACGTTCTAAAATTGGGTTTAAAAATTTCTGAGATATTTAGGCGACTTTTGGAAGTTGCAACATGTCTCGATGCATAGTTTACGGGCTGTCTTTAAAATACGTCACGCGTTTTTTGGTCATTATTTTTGACCGCCCACCCCTTCCTGCGCATCGCAGGTACTGCTCAACGTGAGGTCTACGTGACTTTTCATTATAATGAAAAAAAAGTGTAGTTAAATTTACCACACTGATCCTAGTTAAACGAGCATTAGTTGATATGACTAGAATTCTAGTCATTTTCACTAGATTTTTAGTTGCATCTACCAGTATGGGTGTGGTAACATTTACCAGCCGTCTAGTTTAAAACTCTGGTAGATTTTACTAAACTGTATTGTAATTGTCACCACACTTAAAATCCAGTTAAATTTGATAATTTTGTAACGTACTGCATCCACACAGTCCCCAGCAACCTTCAAAGTTCCGCTTTGAGCCGAAAATCCCTCCTTGATCATAGCATGAGATGAGCGGCCGGACGACGCACAGAGTCCTCAGGTGACGGAGCCGTAGACCCACATGTGGCGTGATAGCGCAGTGGTAACGAGCTTGGCTCGTATGAAGAAGGTTCGGAGTTCGACTCCGGGCAGCGCTGAGGCGAAAAGCGATCGCGATTCAAAGTTGCGTGATGCTTGCACGTGAACTTGAACGTCACCTTTATTTTCACATTTTCTTTCTCTTTTTCTTCTTTATTTAGGATATATTTTAACTAAAAAATTTAGTTATTTTTACCACACGAGGGTGCTGGCGGCATTGTGAGGATAACCAGAATTCTGGTAATTTTTACCAGACGGACGCTAACTAGGCAGTGTGGTATTTGTTACTAGAATTCTAGTTGGTTCCTATTTTACTACACATTCTGGTAAATGGCACTAAAATTCTGGTTGGCCTAACTAAACTTTTTTTTCAGTGAAAGTTCGTTAAGAAAGCGCTCGTAAGCGCTGGAGGTAGGATGGCGAACGAAAGCACCTTACCGCTACTTTCTCCGTCGGTGGGCTCGGCCTGGGTTTAGCTTCACTCCCCTCAGAAGGGCCACCAGGAACTGCCGGAGGCGGGGGCCGTGAAGGGCTGCACGTTGGTTGGACGGCCGTCATGTTTCTGCCTGATTGGTTCAATCCTTCGCTTCGATGCCCCGCACCTTCCCCCCTCCCCCCCCCCTCTCTCTCTCACTCACTCTCTCACACACACACTTACATACCTATGCCGCACGTGCCATGAGCGCCGAAGAGCTGGCTGCGCATTGAAGCGGCCTGGAGACCTGAGGCCAAAGGGCACTCGAGAGCTGAGGCGGGGTGTTGGCTTCGCCGCAGTCAGGGCCTCAGGTAGCAAGCAAGGGCGTCCCATGGAAGTGAGAGAGAGAGAAGAGAGAGAGAAGAGAGAGAGAAGAGAGAGAGAGAAGAGAGAGAGAAGAGAGAGAGAAGAGAGAGAGAGAAGAGAGAGAGAAGAGAGAGAGAAGAGAGAGAGAGAAGAGAGAGAGAAGAGAGAGAGAAGAGAGAGAGAAGAGAGAGAAGAGAGAGAAGAGAGAGAGAAGAGAGAGAGAAGAGAGAGAGAAGAGAGAGAGAAGAGAGAGAGAAGAGAGACAAGAGAGAGAGAAGAGAGAGAGAAGAGAGAGAGAAGAGAGAGAGAAGAGAGAGAGAGAAGAGAGAGAGAGAAGAGAGAGAGAAGAGAGAGGGAGGGGGACTAAAGCTTCCGATTTGCGGGGCCCACCGACACGGCTCATCGACCAGGAAGTTGCCTGTCCTGTCCGTGCCGCTGAAACGCCGGCAGGCCTCCACGCCAATAAGTATCGACCTACACGTCCACTTTTAGAGAGCACAGCCTGATGTGAAGTACAAGAAAAGGAATTGCAGGAGAAGTAGCGGTACCAATCGGCAAATTTGGTCCGGCCCGTACACCTAAAACTTCGCGAATTTTGTCTTCGTTTAAAAATTCTATCTGGTCTTGAACCTGGGTCTGGGGCAAATTAGATGTTATTTTCGTAGAAAGCACTCTCAAAACAGATGAAACACCGCAAAACTTGAACCGAAAAGAAATGGTGGGAATCCCCTGTCGGGATTCGAACCCAGGTCCAAACTTCTCCGATTTGCTCGACACCAGCACCGTTGCCTTTGTCTCGTCGCTCCGATTCCAAAATTATCTCGACGTGTCCTTCTTGCTGTATCCGTTGCCGAAATCCTCCTCGACTCCACACAGATCATAATCACTGAGGATCAGGGAATGTGAAGTCACGTTCGTTTAAGGGGAGGTTCTGGTGAAAATCTTGCCATTTTCCAAATGGATCCTACAGTCATAATTTGTTTGGAATATAAAATTTTTCATTGAGGAGACTAAAATTTGAGTTTTGAAGGCACATGCCAGGCTGTAAACCCAGTCGAAGAGTCTTTTTGAGCCTATTTTGGCTGTATCTTAAAAAATCTCCTTGCGCATACTATTTTGTCGTAAAAGGTTGACCTTGACATTTTTCACTTCTTCGACTCATTTTCAGAAGATACCGGCATGCAGAGCTCAAAACTTCCATTATATTATTAGTTATTAGCTTTTAAAGCTGAAAAGTCCCTAAAATTTGACTATTTTGTACATTTTTGATCAATTATAGTGAAATGCTTGGTAAGAAAGCTTGCGAATAAAAATGCAATTGACACTTTGAGATGTGCATGCCGGCATTTTTAAAAAATGAATCGAAGAAGTGAAAAATGTCTAAGCCAACCTTTTACGACAAAATAGTATGCGCAAGAAGATTTTTAAAGTTATAGCCTAAATGGGAGAAAAAGGCTCTGTGACTGGGTTCAGGGCATGGAATGTGCCTCCCCAATGAAAATTTTTAATAAATACTTGATAAGACATCAAATTTTTAACAAATTTTCACAGTGGGACCTATTTAGGAGAAAATAGCATTTTCACCAGAACCTCCCCTTAAACGTGAATCGTGTCACGTTCGTTTGAATACTGTGTCACATTCGTTTGAACGTGAATCGGCTGGCCCCGGGCCTGGACGAGGCTGGCTCACGTTCAAACGAATGTGACACAGTATTCAAAGGAACGTGGCATGATTCACGTTTCAACGAACGTGACGTCACATTCCCTGATTCCCAGTGATGTACCTGCAGCAGCGCCCTCACACTAAATTACTATGTAGGTTTTTCTGCGCGCTAATGCACGAAATTGTACATGCACTTCGTAACGCACGAATTTGTGCGCGATAATGCACAATTTCGTGCGCAAGTATGCAGGAAATCGTGCATTGTTGCGCACAAATTTGTGCGTTAGGAAGTGCATGTACAATTTCGTGCATTAGCGCGCAGAAAAACCTACATAGTAATTTAGTGTGCTCGGGCTCGGCTCGAGTTTGCTGTAATCGGGCCTTTCTTAGGGTCTCGCGAAGAGGCTGGCTGGCTGCATACCGAATTTGGAGAAGATCGGACCACGGCAAGTCATTGGACGGCCAAGTGCACGCACGGCATGCATCGCGCTTATGTGAACCTGTTCCTCCGGTATTTACTTTACAAAGTACGTCTTTATTTTCCAAACTACGAAGCGATAACTTGGAGCGCGTAGTAAGGCTTAAAACAATTCCGTTAACTCGCACGTGCAATTCTCATTTCTTGGCCGGACTTTTATATCGCTGATCTTCATGTCTTTCAGCGACAGAATCAACACGTTGTAGTTTGCTAAAGCCACGAATGCCTGCAGAAAGAGGAAAGCATTCCTTTAATCGTCTTTTCGAGACAACAGCCGTAACTACTGATTTGAAGTGATCCTCAGTTTTTTGTCAGCATGAAAATGATATCTGACAGCGCGAATTCTAAAACAACAAGAAATGAAGTGATCTAAATCAACCACTCATTCCAAAGGCCAGACTTCTCGCCACTCCAGAGGCGAGACATAAAAGTCTTGCCGAGACATAAAAGTCTCGCCAAGTTTTGGTCAGATCTGAAAGTCTCGCCGAAATTCGGTCAGACAAAAAAGTCTCGCCACAAAACGATCAGACACAAAAGTCTCACCACAAATTGGCGAGACTTTTGTGTCTGACCGCCACCTAAAGACCGTAATGCTCCGGACGGTCACGGCCTAAAGGCCGTGGTCAGACACAAAAGTCTCGCCATTTTGTGGAAAAGTCTCGCCACTTTGTTTGGTCTCGCCATTCGGTTTGTCTGACCGAATTTTGGCGAGACTTTCAGGTCTGACCAAAACTTGGCGAGGCTTTTATGTCTCGCCATGTTTTGGCGCAAAGTCTTTCCATCCAATTGGCAGTGCTGTTGCCTCACTTCTATTCACTGAAAATCTACCGGCGTGACTTCGTGCCGCTGCAGGGGCGTGAATAAAGTGTCACGCCAATAAACGGCAGGACAGAAAAGTCACGCCAAAAATCAGCGTGACTCAAAAATTCACCTTAATATTTGGTGTGAATCTCTTGTTATGCCGCTTTTTGGTATGACTTGTCTCATAAAACGCATTGTCATTTACGCCAAATGATGGCGTGACTCACATGTCACGCCGTTTATCGGCGTGAATTTCGTGTCACGCCAGTTTTTGGCGTGAATTTCGTGTCACGCCAATTTTTGGCGTGACTTTTTGTCACGCTATAATTTGGCAATGTGTCCGACCATTACGTTTTCAGTGATTCCCTTTAAAATGACATCATTGGCTGAGCGATAGCGAAGCCTGTTACTCCATTGGGGTTGTAAAGTTTTTCCTGTCTGTCTGTCCGTCTGTCTGTGTGTGTGTCCGCACTACTCCTCCTGAACGGCTCGGCCGATCTCGGTGAGATTTTGCACACTTTTGCGGCATGTCCTTGGCTCGGCACACGCGAAATTTCACCATCCTAGCTCAACTGGTTCAGTTTTTATAGGCGAAAAACACCTAAAAAACGGCGAAAAATCGAGTTATCTGCAGGCAGATCACTTCTGTCTTGAAGAAGGGGGGTCTGGGGGGCAGAGCCCCCCAGCCCCGACAAGTTAAAAAGTTACAAGGGATCTAGAATGAAGGGGGGTCTGGGGGGCGGAGCCCCCCAGCACGCATCAAGTTAGAAGTAACCGCCGATGGACAAGCCATTGCCTGCCGAAGGCAGGCTAGCGCCGCAGGCCAAGGTAGGTACGCCAGGCGCGGATTGGAGGAACAGGCAGCGAGACATCGCGAAGCCTGTTACGACAAGACGCGGTCTGGCGTAAACCTACCTTGTATATTTCTGTCGTTTGTTTCTCTTTGTGCTCCCCAGGGTATAGGAAGATGACAACACGTTCGTA